TTTTTTGAACGATACGAGAGGCAGGTGTTGGGCGAAAGAGATGGACAAGTGACAAGTGAGGGTTGTACAAGGAAGACAGTCATTTAAAGTGCTGTGTTAAGCCGTTAAGCTAAAGAGTCAAAAGGTTGTTTTGTTTCTTTTTCAAGTCAAAAGCACGTTCCATACACATCTTCATCTACTACGTTAATTAGGATATTTCCATGTATTTCCTAGCCTAAAGTAAATGGGTTGTGCAAGGAAGGTTGTCATTCAGCTGGTGTGTTGGTTATATATTATAGGGAAATACAATCCAACCCTGATTTTGCGAGGAGTCTTCTGTCCCTGTCGAAACTGACTGAACATCAAGAATCCAAGCTTCAGCAGCTGCATGAGGCAAACAGCAAGGAGCTGCATTTATCAGCTCCTGCAGGCGCGGGCAAAACCTTCGTCGCCGTGCAATTTGCGCTCGACAAGGTCTATGAGAACTGGAACTCCAAGGGCAGAATTCTTTATGTTGCACCTCGCCCTGCTTTAGGACTACATTTTGTTCAGTGGCTCATTGCAAGACACCAGGCCCTAGGGATTCAAGAAGGCTTTGATGCCAATGTCGAGGAATTGTTGGCCCGAGTGGTCTTGATGCATGAGCCTTACAATCGGCTGATCAGTTTGGACGTGGGGCCTGAGGGGCGCTTAGAGGAGACCCTCTTACAGACGCACGTTGCTGCCATAGCTTCATCTTGTTTCCTTAGCATTTTCGATGAGGCACACGAGTTGTTTGCTTCTGACCAGATGAGCCAAATCTACAAAGATGCTCCAGGTGAGAAGTTGCTACTGTCCGATCTATCCCAATCCGCTTCTTTACATCCATCCTTTCCGAAAGATGCCACCACCGTGACCATGACGGAAGTGGTCAGGAGTACCAAGCGCATCGTAGCTGGCGCACAAGCGTTTCAGATCCGGATCGATGGAGTCAGCACCAGCTGCTCCGGCACGGAGGGACCACCTCTGAAAACCTTCATGTTCAACGCTGATGCGCAGGAGATGAAGACCTTTGATCTTTGTTCCTTGCACATTGTCCGTGCCATTTGGCACATCCTCCGAAGCTTTCCAAGCCTGAAGAGCTTGCACCGGAGGGTGGCCATCATTGTACCGGACCAGGAATTCTTGGAGAAGTTGATGCCACTACTGGCAGTGAAGCTGCAGTCCACCTTTGCAGCACGCAAGCTTCAGCTGGTATCCTTTGAGGGTTCTTTGCGCTACTTACATCACTACCAACAAGAGGTAACAAGTGAAGTTCTTGTGCTGGATACCATAGAGTCTGCCAGAGGACTAGAGATGATGATGGTCATCTGTGCTGGTCTTGACGAGCCGATCTCTGAGGCAGGCTCGATGGAAACTCTGGTGACACGCGCACGGATCTACCAAGGCATCACCAGAGCGCAGCTGATGACAGTGATCGTGGACAGATTTGTGCCTGGCGGTTGGCTAGAATTTCTTCAAACGCTGAAGTTCAAGGAAAAGCTCTTCCAGGTAGGGAGCTAAAAAATGGGGAATACAGTAATGGTGTCCTAGTTGCAAGTGGTGTTGGTTCGCGTGTTTTAACGAGATAAAAAGGGACGCCACAGCCAAATAACGACATAGATTGAATTCAATGAGATTCAAATTGGTGCTTAACCAACCAGGCATTCCTCAAAACTCGGGGCAACCAGGTAAGCCGGACCCACCAGCGCCAGCTTCCAGGAGAGTTCCGCTTTTGCGGAGGTCAGCCCGGAGGCTGCCGGCCAGATCGTCCAGAAGCAAGGTCAGGCCGTGCCATCAGCGGCATTGGAGACCCTGCTGGGCAAGGACGGACCGCTTGACTCGACGGTGTGGAGGACTCGAAAACTCGAGGATCAGTGTGGGGGCAGGGGCCACTCGAATGCTTGGTGGCTGTTTTGCCAGGTGTGCTTCCAGAGATGAATGACAATACAGTACAATACTACGAGTCAGTATAATTAACCGTATTATATATATATATGTGGAA